AATATTTTTTAATAATTTTTTACTGTAAAAATTTAAAATTAAAAATTTAAATTAATAAAATAAACGAGACTTATATATGCATGTGATGACAGGTTCAATCCGTCAAAATTATTGATGTTTGCCACAAAGCAAGGGTCAAGTGAAGGACCGTCAAAGTGGATTTTCAATCTTGAAAGACCGATGTTTGTATAATTTTATTGGGAATATTTACGGTGCCCCCTCTATTTTTAGTCCACCGTGAAATAAGTAAAAGTACCTTTTGACCATGAAATTATTAGGGCTTTTTTTTTTGTACAGATTCCCCCTAAATTTTATGTGTTTGACAATTTTTTTTTATTTGAACAGTGTTTTATTAAACAGCAGGAGCCACCTCCTGGATTGGGATAAACCCAGAGCTTGATGACTGACAAGCCCAAACACAAAAATTATGAGCACTTAAGTTCCTAGATCTAGGGATCTGCTTATGTTTTGGGCAATTCTTCAACTAAAAATTGTGACAATCACTCTTTAAATCTCGTTCATTTCGCTAATTTGAGTTTAGAATTCAAGTTTTATTACAGTAAAAAGCTCTCATAAACAATCACATCTAACTTTTTTGCTACAGTAAAAAACTCTCACATAAAATTACATATCAACTCAAATTTTAAACTCGATCAGCGAAATGAACAAGACGTAAATATTGGTGCAATTACTTCAATTGCTAACGCCATTAGACATCATGGATGGAATGTTGCATGTGCCCCTCACGTGCGCCATTTATCAGGGCAATATTGGAATTTAACTTTAAAAAATTATTTCCTTTTCAAAAAAAAAGAGAGGAAAAACTGATTGGAAATGGCGACGGACCGGCGACCACCTTTCCCTTCATGCTCTCTCTCTCTCTCTCTCGCCTCCTTCACCAAACCATTAGGTTGTCGGAAATGGCCACCAACCAGCCGGTCCAGCCCAGATGACAATCTCACTCACCTCCGCCCATTCCTATATTATTCTCCCTCTCTCTTCGGATCTCGCGGAGGTGGAGGCCGTTGCGGTGCCGGACCTTGCGCGGAGTGGAGGCCGTTGGGACGCCAGATCTCGCAGATGGTGGAGGCTGTTGCGACGCTAGTTGTCGCAGGGGGTTTGGGCCTCTGCGACGCCGGATCTCGCGTGTGGTGGAGGCCGCTGCGACGCTGGATCTCGCGGGGGGTTTGGGCCGTTGAGGCACCGAATCTCATGAGTGGAAGCTACTGCAATGACGTATCTCCTATCTTTCTCTCTCTTCTTCAATCTGAAACTCTCTCCAACAATTGTATAGAATCCATAAATCAGAAATGATGAATAACACCAAGAAACGATTTTTTTTTTCTTTTTCCTTGTTACTTCATAGCTTTCACACCACAAACAACGGGAAGAAAAGATTTCTTTTTTTCTTTTATTGTTTTTTTTTCTTTCAATTTTGGATTTTGATTCAGTTTTGGTGGTTTCGGATTCTCACAAGATTCGTGTTGATAGTTGGATTGCTAGCTTTAAGCAATCAAAGCAGTTAATTTGATGTTTAAGATCAATTTTAAGTATTGCACTTTGTGATGTTCTTGATCTGGGGAACGAAGCACACATGCGGGAGAGAACGTGAATCGGTGGGGGTGTGCAGACTCCATTTTACAGGTCTTTTTTGTTTTTGTTTTTTGATTATGTTATATAATAATTTGTTAAAACGAATTTTTAGTATTGTTCTCGTAAATAGATCACGTGACTCACAATAATTTATAACGGTGTTAGCAATTGGAGTGATTGTATTATTGAAAGTTTAGGGGTTTGATTGTCACAATTTTTAGTTTAAAGACTAAATTACTAAACACATAAAGTTAACGGGCATTCTTAAAAAAAAAAAAAAAAAAAAACCAATTATTAGTGTAAAATGAGTACGCATCATTTATATGGTGTTCTTTCCCACGATGTAACCCTTCTTTAATTTTGAAAAGAACTTATATTTCATAATCAATTAAAATTAAGAAGAAGTTAATCTTTTATCTTCTATCTTCTATTAATAACTTTAGGAGGACAAAGTCTCACTATCTCCTTTTTCTTTTGTTTTGTTTTTTTGGAATTTTTTTTCCTTTTTTTGGATCTTAGGAGACTTAAAAAGGTGGATTAAAAGGTGTTTATTTATAAGAAAAATTACATAGTTGCCTTTTGAATTATAAGTCGTTCACAAAATATTCTTGATTTTTAATTTATAATATCTATTTCGCTTAAATTTTAGAAGTCTTGTAAATTTTCCCAAGACTTCTAAAATTTTAACAGAAGGGAAAATTTACAATACTTCTAAAGTTTAGAGAAAAAATATGTTACAAATTAAAATTTAAGGACATTTTATGACATGGCTTATAATTCAAAAGGCAACAATGTAATTTGTCCATATTTATATTTGGTGGGGAAGGTAAATGGACAACAAAAAAGTGATATTATGATGTTTTTGGTTCAATTTCTAATGGGTGCCCTACTTAAATGACGTTTTTTTTTTTGGGTTAAACTACTTAAATAAGACTTAGAACGCTAACATATTGAAGCCGATTTAGATGTCAAAACAGCCCTTACATGCATTTCTTGACAAATTTAATAGCTGCTTTGATCATTGAATTTAGGAGCCTCCAGATCTAAACAATCAACACATCCTCACATTAAAACAAGAACCACTTTCTGACTCTTTTTTTCTTTTAGGTTATCTATATTTTTACTAATTGAGCTTTACGTGCTACACACGTGGAGAATAATTTGTATGTTAAGTTTTGATTACCATACTATTATTTTAATTAATTCAATAAATTATAAAGATTTCAATTAATTAGTTAGTTAATACATAATAAACACAAACATCTTTATAAGTATCAACATTAAAATAATAAGGATTACACAGAAAAAGATTAAATAAAGACACATACAAAAAATATATTTTAATGAGAACACTCAGTGAAAAAATAAATTAAAAATAATTTAAAGTTGCAACTGATAATAAGCTGGTTGTGGAGTTACGTGCCATTTTGAATTGCAATAGTAAAGTAGACAACTCTTATTCTCTTATTCTTCAAAGGCTTTGCGCAGATATTAACCTAGTTGTTTAATTAAAGTACCTTCTAACATATATATATATAATATATATAATATATATATATATATAGATGTAACTTTAATAGTTATTCTACTATTTATTTATTAATGGGTATTATTATTTTAGTTATAAAATATTAATCCGAAAGTTATAATAAATTATATAGTTGACTAAAAGAAATTATAATTAATAAAATTAAATTTTTTATCATGCCATGTCATTAGATTTTTATATTTGGTGGTGGCCACTGATAGAAAAAAAAAATATATATATATATATAGGACCTTCTTATACTAATTAAAGTAATATTCTGAGACGAAATTATTTAAGCACTTTAAAATGTGAAAGAAGAGACAGAGAATTAGTTTTAATGTAACCCTTAAAAATATAATTTTATACAAAAATTAGTTAAACTCCACGTGTTATGCATGTGGGGAGTAATCTCTGTGTTAAGTTTTAATTACTGTATTATCACTAAAAGCATATAACATCTTAAAATAAAATCCTAAAAAAGAATAAAAACAGCAAAAGTAAAATTTTAGGACAAAAAGCCAAAAAAGGTCAAAATATGACTAAAATGAAGAAATAAATAAATTTTAAGGCAAAAGAAAAAAAATAAGTTTCAGGAAAAAATATAAACAAAGGATAAAAAAGGACTAAAATGAAGAAAAATAGGTTTTACAGCAAAAGAAACCAAAAGGAAAAAACTAAAATTTTAGGAAAAAAATTAAAATAAGAGTCAGAAAAGAACTAAAATGAAGAAATAAATAACTTTTAGAGACAAATAAAATAAAACGGAAAAAAAGATAAAGTTTCAGGGTAAAAAAAAATAACTAAAATGAAGCAATAACTAAGTTTTAGTGCAAAAGGAACCAAACCGAAAAAAAAAATTTCAAGACTAAAATAAAAAAAAAGTTTAAAAAAGGATAACAATGAATATAAATAAGTTTAAGGCAAAAGAAACACAAGTGAAAAAATAGAGTTTGGGTGCAAAAATAAAAGAAAAAGATAAAAAAAAAGGGACCAAATTAGGAAATAAATAAGTTTTAGGATAAAAAACGCAAATGAAAAAAATAGAGTTTTGGCGCAAAAATAAATAAAAAAGGTCAAAAAGGATCAAAATGAATGAACAAATAAATTTTAGAGCAAAAGAACCAAGACGAAAGGAAACAATTTCAGAAAAGATAAAAAAGGATTAAAAAAGACTAAAACAAAGAAATAAATAAGTTTTAGGGCACAACAAATAAGACATATCTAAATTGGATAACATTTGATAATTTAGGTAAAAAAAAGAATTGTCAGATAAACAAAAAAAGATGGAGAAAAAATCAAAAGCAAAAAAAAAAAAAGATTAATTACGAAAACCCCTTGTAACACTTTGTCTCTAATATTTGAAACGTAACATCCATTTATCATGAACAATGAAATGTTAATAAAAATGCTCCATCCGTTAGGTTTTTTTAAGGGAAATTGACAGGTAAATGTTACTTTAGGAGTATTTTGGTAGCTTTATGATTTAAAATTTTATTTGAATTTAAAACTAATTTAAATTTAAATTTGTAATTATGATACATCCATTATTGATTGAATGTAAGTTAAAAATTTTATGAATTTTTTTGATAGAATAACAAAATTTATGAAGTTTTTTTTGAATAAAAAAATTAGTTTAAATTCAAATTAATTTTTAAACTATAAAATTATCAAAATGCACTTAAAATAGTAAATTAAATGACATTTTTTAGTTAAAAACCTAGCATAGGAGTTTTGCTATTAACATTTCATTATTCAGGCCGATGAAAAAGCATAGCCAAGACGGTACTACTCAAATGGATGAGGTTGATAAGTATTTGAGCAAGCGATGTGAGGAGATTACTGATGAACAATTCGATATTTTAGGTTGGTGGAAAGTGAATGCACTTGGTATAAGATGGTTTTTCAGGTTGCTAAAAATTTGCTTGTGGTTCCGGTGTCGATAGTTGCATCCGAATCAGCTTTTTTAACTGGCCGCCGTATTCTTAATCCGTTTAGGAGTTCATTGTCTCCTAGGATGGTCGAAGCAGTAATTTGTTTGAAGAATTGGTTGAATGCCATGGATGATGAATATGAACCTGTTGTTCTCAAGCTATACACGGATGAAGTGGAAAGTTTTGAAGACTGTTATGAAGTTGTTACAGGTGATATTATTAAATGTTAATCTTTAATAATTATAGCTAGCTTACTCCTAATCGTAATTGATTATTGTCATGGTTATTGAAATTGATCATCAATTTCTTTTGTAGATGATGGTGAGGTCGTCACTCCTACAACTTCAAGCAACATGAGTGCAACTACCCAACCAACGGATGCGGAATCCGCTGAAGTGATGAAGTAAGTTACTCACTTGTTAGTTAATTTATTAAGGACTTAGTATATTTATTTATCTATCTCATTTCTTTGACATATTACTAGTATTAAATATATTAATTTCTTTCTTGTATTGTATGTAATGTCTCTAATGATGGTGAAGAAGATCATGTGACAAATTTGGATGAAGAAGGCTAAAAAGAGTTCCAACAAGAACTGTTGTTGTTAAGTTTGAATGATGTTGTGTTTTGTGAGTGATAGGCACTTAGACTCTGATGTTTTTCCATAACTTGGACTTTACCTTTTGATAGCTCTGCCACCACTCTTTGTTTGTTCACACAGGGCGCGAGGGCGTTTGCTTCGCAAGGTAGTTAGGTTTTTCATCAAAGAAAGAGGCATGCTCAACTGCTGAAAACTCATAATAATTGTGCCTATCATCCATGCCCCCTGCCCTCTCCATGTTTTCCTGGATCTGTCCCGAACTTCTCCTTATCCACTCTGAAATATACCTTAAGTTAAGGGCTTGTCTACTTTAGCGTTATAATTCAAAGTCTCATAATTGCTTATTTAAGAAGAACTTTGGCTATCTTTCTTCAAGTGAGAAATCGGATCGAGAAACCACCGCCCAAAGGTGCTTTTACGAAAGCCGGTCACCGTTGGCTAAGAACCATTTCTCACTTGTGAAGCCACATATCAAAAATGAAAATCTAGAAAGTGTGCCATGAGTTAGGATATCGTGGGTTTTTCGGAGGGCGCTAAAAAGGTGGGGGAACAAGAGTTGTCACGATAGGAAAGAGAAATCCCCAACGAGCCTTCATTTTGGTTGAATTTATTAACAGTATTTTTGCAACTTTATATATATATATATATATATATATTTATAGATGTATAGATGAACACCACCTTTTACACCGATGCCACTCGCATACGCCAATTCTTGAACTTTACAAACTAATCCTTCCAAAACCCAAAAAAAAAAAAAAAGAAAAGAAAAAAAAAAGAAAGAAAAAGAATCATTAAAAAAAAAAAACCCAAAAAAGATGGAGAATCTTGCGAATTCTTCTATGCTAACTGAACCCGATATTACAGTAAAACCTCCGATTCCCACTAGTGAATGGTAAAAAAAATTTCATCATACAGCGCAACTTTCACGTAGTAACCTTAACAATCTATAGAAATGCAGCTCTGGGCAATGGTGTTGCTGTCCACTTTGCTCACAAACGGGTTAATCTTGACCCAAACAAGAGAGAAGACAGATGCCAAAAGCACTGACCAAAGCACAACAATGGTGGGAGTCTTGTTTTGGCGACCCATGAGACCCTTAAGGAACGGGTAGAGATGAAGAATCACCCAAAAGGCAAAGAAAACCTTGCCAAACAGTGGACCCCAAGCTTCATATCCTTTGTTTAGAGCGTCAGAGAATCCTGCAACCACACCAACCAAGTTGATAATGAGAAGGGTCGTTGGAGGGATCAAAAGTGTGGTCCACTTGATGATGTAGAGGTCCCCAAACTCCGAATCGTCAGCGGCCTTTGCAGTGACTGTGAAGTTGGTGTCAAGTCCTGCCAACATCTTGAGGAAGCCTTGGAAGACGGCGAAGAGATGGGCTGAAACGCCTCCGATCACCCAGAACTGCTCGTTACGCCAGAACTCCTCGATGGTGACTCCGCTCCACCGCAGCTCGAGAATGCTGGTGACAATGATGGAGAAGAAGAGGCAAAGGAACAGAAGACTTGCCAGGTTTGAAAGCTGAATCATGTCAACAAAAGTAATGAATAGTAAGTTTCATGTGTGTACCATGACTTCTTAGTATTTGCGAAACTGGGCTTTCTTATTAGTACGTTTTAAAAGAGTTGAAGCTCAAGGATATTGTATTGGTTTCAATGGTTATGCATTCTGATATATCATATATCTCTACCATTCTAAATGTTTAAGACAATACAAGAGGATCCCAAGTTATTGACAAAATTTCTTTTTTGTACCAAATGATGTGACAGAAGAGTCGTTATTATCCCATCGGAAAACTTTCTATAAAAGGATTCACTTGGTACCAAAAAAAAAAAAAAAATTAGTAGACAACTTGAAATCCACATCATTGTTCTTTCAGTAATGTCTTTATTAGTAATGGTGGGTATTCTTCCAAAGAAAAATGTTGGTAGTAGAAGCAATTACCGTTGGAATGATAAATTTGCCTGTGAGAAGGCAAATTGCTGGCAATGCACAATAAGCAATGAGAGGGAAGGATGTGAAAGGATAAACAATGGTGTTGATGTAAGCCAAGCGCTGCAGCCACCTGAGGCGACCTCCTGCAAAGCCATACCAAAGGGGGCAGTGCCTGCTGAAGAAGATCTCAACAGATCCGAGCGCCCATCGAAGAACTTGGTGAAGCCTATCAGACAAGTTGATTGGTGCTGACCCTTTGAATGCAGGCCTTAAGGGCATGCAGTAAATTGACCTCCATCCACGGCAGTGCATCTTGAAACCTGTTAGGATGTCCTCTGTGACTGAGCCATATATCCAACCAATCTGTGACGATAGAATACAATCATTATTATTAAGATGGTAATAGGTTATCCATGTTTAAGTGCTCTGGAATATGAAATTCAGAGAGAGTAGTAGGTACTTCTTTTCCCCATGCTGTTTTTTCTTCATAACCACAACTAATGACATGAATTGCCTCCTTGATCAATGCAGAGGGGTTAATAGATTCGGGCACTCCACCGTTATCCATTAATGTAGACTCGATGAATACAGATGATAATCCAAAGGTTTTCTCAAAGCTCAGTTGGGAGATGAGCATGGATCTCTCATGCTCATCATAATCTGCCCAGTGGAAAACAAAAACGCATTTAAGTATTTTGAAAACTATGTCATGATTTGTCTAAATCCAATTTATACGAACACTAGACTTACTATCGATTTCCCTGAGGTTGAATATGGCGGCATCAAGTTCATCGCGTTTAGCATCTCGATAAAGTTCTGAGGGGTCTTTAGATGGCTTCTTGGTCGGGCAGCAACATGAGCAGCAGCCACACCATGAGCAGGATGAGGAAGGCTTTGGTAAGGCTGGCAAAGATGCAGGACTATATCCATAAAGTGCTTGCCTATTGAAGACGGTCCCAGTCCCCACATAAACCGGTCCTTGTATACCATCAAGTCCTCTCATGTTAACCTGTATAATCAGAATATTAGAACGTTCTTTAGAATCCAAATGCTCATAACTCTTTTGGTACTGCAAAAAGAGGTAGTCATTACTTCTTCTACATTGAACTTACATCGAAGAAAACAGTGTTACGATTGGCATATCGATCACTGCGGTCAATCCCATCAAACCTCTGAGGGAACTGCACATAGCAGACACCTGGGCCCACTTGAGGGTCCATCAAGAAACACATAGCCTCACGAATGGCCTGGCTGTTGTTAACATAGTGGTCACAGTCAAGGTTAAGTATGAATGGCGCATTTGTAAGAACCGCAGATACTCTAACCTGTATAAGCCCAAAACATCATGTCTTAGTTAAAATTTTCAATGCAACAATAAATATCACAAATTTTGTATATAAAGTATATAGAGCCATACCAGAGCATTTTCAGCACCAGCTTTCTTGTGGTGTGGGTAACCGGGTCTCTTTTCTCTGGAGACATAGACCAGACGGGGAATTTCGTATCCGTCTATGTCATGGGCACCAGTGTTTCCAAGAAAAACCTGAAGAACGAAGTATGTCACATGGCGGGGGAAGAAAATATTTTGGAAATCAGATTGAACAAGACTAAAACTGGATAACTAGATGTTAAGTGTCTTGAGCTTAATTATTGTCCTGACGCAGAGTCAGCAAGCAGATCGACCTTGAAAATGAACCATTATTTATCTTGCGTGTGTTTTCTCATCTTTTTTTACTTTATTGAAACAATAGATTCCAAGCTCAAAAATAAAGTTTTAATTGACACTTAGTATTAATTAAAAAAATGAAAATTTAGTAAACAAATTAACCTGAATCATGCCAGGGTGATCACGCGTATTATTCCCGGGCCAAGATGTTCCATCTTGCATGGTCCAGCCTTCTTCAGGTGTTTTCTGAGCTTTTGCCACTAAAGCATTAATTCTCACTTTGAACTCTTCATAATCTCTCTACAATAATTCAAAATAAAACCATTAACACAAAAATGATTTCAAGCACATTTATAGTTAGTTTTACTGAAGCGGTTAATTCTCTTTAAAATGCTATACTTTCATTGCTCGGCGTTCCTTCACAAAAGAAGGCTGAATTTTATCCTTCAGGTAGTCAATCTTCTGTGAGAAGTAGAACTCAGGAGCACGTGGTTCAATTGCGAATTTCTTGCAGAATGGAACCCACTTCCTTGCAAAATCAGCTGTTTCAACTAAGGATTCGAAAGTAAGCATGGCAGCACCATCATCAGACACATAGCAGGAGACCTTATCAACTGGATAGTCCACTGCAAGGATGGAAAGCACTGTGTTGGCCGTGATCAATGGCGGTTCTTTCATTGGATCGACTGTACTCACGAAGAAATCTACAGCAGCTAGCTCTGATGGTTCACCCTCTCTTTCATACCTGACATTCAAGTACACATTCAAACATTGGCTCTCTAATCTATGTTAAGTTATTCACATACACAGCTAGAAAATATTGTGTTCATTGGCAAAATAACAAGTTTAGTTACCCAACTTGGAAGCATGAGATGAAAACTAGAAAACTAAAATTATCAAATGTATAGGAAAAAAATCTTATACATTCAATTACATATCTAAAGATTATCTACCTAATGTATGTTGATTGGTTTACGTTATACTAAGCCAGGAAGCACTGTCTGTTCGTTTTCTAACATCTTGCTTTATATCCAACTAAAGTTTGTGGCAGAAAGGAAAAAGGGTAGAGCCAAAATAACAAGTTCAGTAATCACCTCTAAAAATTGTTAGGTGTATAGAAAAACCCAATTGAATTCCTAAACATAATCAAACCAATATAATCAATAACTACTAACTATAGGTAAAAACTTAGTATTTCAGATGAAGATATGAACCTTGCAGAAAGCCTGTCAATGTATGTTTCCCTACTAACTGGAGACCATTTGGGAAACTGGTCCAAGATCCAGGAATAGGCAAACCAGATCTCACAAATCACAGAGGTCATCCATAGACCATAAGCACTATCAACCGGATGAGTTACTCGGTAATGGAAGAAGAGAACCAGAATGATCAATCTCATGATTATCACAACTCTGTAGGGTGTGAGTTTGCTTTTAGAAAGTGGAATGAGAGTTGAAAATGGTTGTGCACCATCTGGAGACCTATAAAAACAATCACATTAAGTCATATATTTTGTTGTAGTCTCTAAAGGTAACCATATTATAAAAACTATTTCATTAACATTTGATAACAAAAGATATATTCTCACTGTTGTTGCCCTTCCATCTGTTGCTCAGGTGGGACTTGAACCTCCTCTTTCTCCGCCTTAGTCGCAGCCTTTTTCTTCTTGTTCTTTTTATCCTTCCAACTCTCTACTCTATTCTTCCAAATTGGATTCCCGGACTCATCATTCATTTCTTAAAGAGAAACCAATCGAGATTGTAATCAACAATTTATTATATGAAATTAAATGAAATCTGGGGACCAAAAGATCCAAACATGGATAAAACAAATGGATTGTCTTACCACTATCCACTGTAGACACACTGCTGATATGTCTAGCATGAAGTCCCACATCCTGTGAAAACCAATACTCAATATTAATTTAAGCTTGCTATTCTTCTCCTTGGAAATGCGTGTGAAGCAGAGAAATACGTACAAAAATCATTCTTACCTTTGGTTCATTGAGGTGAGATGCCATGGTGGATCCAGTTTCAGATATATTTGTTTCGCCGTGATCCGCCAGTGAATCCTCTATAGAAATCAAAGTAACACAGAGCTTACAAATCATGCAATTCTAAAGTGTCTACTCTATACCAAACATAACCAAAACAGATGTTGATCTAGAATTCAACAAACCATTGTCATTAATTTGTTTATAAGATAATGCTTCAGTTACAAGGCTCAAACTCAATTTGGAATTATTGCCCTCGTTCAAACATATAGAGCATAATAGGGACCTAACAATCATATAACATGAAGCATAAATCTGTAGTCAGATAAGCTTAGTACAAAGAGTAATGTTTAAATGGTCCAAAAACTTATTGTGTTGCAACAATTTGGCAAAAGTTTGTCATGACTGCTAACTTGTTTTGGACATGATAACGTTTCTATCCAACTTTGCCATCTAAGATGTTATACATATTAGTGGACCAAATAAGGATCTCAGTTTCAAATCATAATAGGATAAAAGTGAAGAAAGAACTGAGAAAAATAGAGAAATCCAAGTTAGAAAAATACCGCCACAGGGCGGAAAAATAGAGAAATCCAAGTTAAACAAATACCGCCATAGGGCGTGCTACAACGCAGGCAAACTTTGCGCCCCTCGTTGATCTCATAATTCAAACAATCCTTGCAAATGGGGAAATTGCACTCGTGACAAGCCACAAAGACTTCTCCATTGGCATCAAGCCCCACTTGCTCACCACAAGTGCTGCAGAGAGGAATCCCAGATTGCATCATCTTGATTTTCGATCAGCTTACTTGATCAGCAGGGCCCTCTCTCTCTCCCTGTGCTTTCTCAATCTCAGTTTGGTCACTTATTTTTATATGGAAGACCCCAAACACCATAAAAGGGCAGTAGGTTGGTCTTTACTTGAGGGTGGTGCAACTACAAGCATATATATCTTTTGTACTACTGCTTAAAGGAGGAGAAGATTAATGGTGGTTGTGGAGGTTGAGGTGTTGGTTTTCATTTTTCTTGGAGAGAAAGAGAGACAAGAAGCAACATCTATATTGTTTCTTCTTCTTCCCTTTTTTTTTTTTTTTTTTTTTTTGGGTGTAAAAAGAGGATTTGAAATTTTTGCTGGAAGTCTAAGGAAGGTTTCGGTTGGGAAGGGTACATCTTTAACCAACAAACCTTACAGAAAACAAACCAAAGCCTTGCATGTCACGTCGATTGATATACATGCAAACAAAGACTCCATACATTGCCATGGCTTTATACATACATCCATACATACATACATACATACATACATATATATATATATATATATATATATATATTTGAGTTCCAAGTTTGAACATCTTACAAGTTGCCAAGATTGTTTAGTCTCCAAAGTTGTTTACCTTTTGGCTTTGGGGCAACCATACAAATAATCGTTGTCAATAAGATAAAGAGCAACTATTTTTAGCTCTAGGAAGGGTGAGTTTGCATGTTGCTCATAATTTCTCAATCGTTGATGACCCAGTCATTCAAATGTCAGATAAAGCTTTAAAAATGTGAATTAGAAAGAGAAATCTTGATTGAAGGACCAAAGAGGTGGCTTTTTACAATCAAAAGATGGTAATATCCCACGCGTAAGTGGTAATCCATTTGGTTCTTTTTCCTGTACAATTCAAGATGGTTGTATACTACCACTTGTGGAGATCTGACTCACCAACTCAAAATTTTTAAATTCTGGCTTCATTGTACCTAACTTCACTTCTTTTTTAAATTTCTCTTTTTTTTTTTTTTTTACATGGTACCTAACTTTATTATTGGTCGTACAACTTGGCTGTGTACGGATCCCCTCATTGTACCTAACTTCACTTCTTTTTTAAATTTCTCTTTTTTTTTTTTTACATGGTACCTAGCTTTATTATTGGTCGTACAACTTGGCTGTGTACGGATCCCAAGATGTAGGACACTGGAATAAATTTTGGTAGCATTTGATTATCATGTTGCGTCCGTTTATGACCACAAACATAGATGTAAAACCCAACTACATTCTTCTGTCTTTCTTCAAAAAAAAAAAAAAAAAAAAACTACATTCTTCTGGAAAACTATACAATATTTAAGAGTAATTTCATCAAAGCTCATCTTGATCATTATATATATATATATATCCAATCGCTTTTGAGAACTCATTTGCCTGATTGTCACGACTCACTATAGACTTCACAAATTATTTAAAAAAAAAAAAATTACAAGGTAAAAGATTCTCTCATCCCGATGAGGGAGAAAAAGGCAGAAAAGACAATAAAAAAGTACAAGCTTCTACGCCTAAAATCAGTCGTATAATGAAATGTAATTCCCACATGCCTCACTAGAATAGATAAGAACCTCAAAAAAGCGTGGCATTCCCTGATGAGAGATTGTAATTTGTTAGCAGGCTAATCAGCCACTAGATTTGTGATAACCTCTTCGAACTTTTAGATGGACATCCGATCGAATGGAGCTTCGAGGTGAAGAGGAAACGATTTTCCAGAGTTGGTAATCGGTTTTCTCACCAGGAGTTTCAGTTAGCAAATAGTCCATGGTTGCGCAGCACTGATTTATGAAACAGAATAGACCTTCACCACTTTCGTTGTGTCGCATACAACGAGGTTTTCTGATTCAGTTGGAGTGGTGCAGAGCCAATTGACCTGCCGAGGCATTAGGTACTGGATGAGAAGTTTGAAAAAACAAAAATGAAATCCCGGCAGCTGTCTAAAAGATACAAGAACTCACCTTTTTGCTCAGATTGATGTTCAATTGTAAAACATTAGTCCCGCTGCTAGTTCCTTCTGTATCAAGATATCGGGACCAATCCCATACCTTTACTGACTTGTCATTTCCCCCTGAAATTATGAATTTTCCTCTTTCACCAAATAGTGAAAATGCCCTGAATAAATTGTACTAGTCAAATAATTGAATACAGTTTCTTTTGAGAAAAGAGTGTTAAGTCTTCTAAAATTGCACTCAAAGTAAATGACTCACACGCAAGACACTGCAGCAGTGTGACCCCCAAAAGAGTAATCCAAATGTATCCTTTTTCTTCCATTTTGTTCTGAGTTTTCTGTGTCATTAGTTCTGCTTCTGTTTTTGGATCTATTCTGAGATCCTCTTTGGGATCCTGTAGAAGTTTTTGACTTGATGACAGCAAGTTCAGATTCAACATCGATAACATCGACAGATCCATCACCCCTTGCGACAGTACAAATCTTGCCTGATTTGTCTAACATATCAATATCTGGAACCGCAAGTGCATGAATGTAAGCAGGATTAAAACACTGTCCTGTGCTGCCACCATTGTTATCATGCAGAGCTGTGGCAATGAAAAGGGAAGGATTTAGAACAAATTCCATTTTCTGGTCGATGGCACAACAGTCACTGAAAGAAAACGAGATTGTAGCAGTATTAAACAAGTACTTACCAAAATCCACAATTTTGTGTGGACGGCCTTTGGAGAAGTCCCACATCACAAGTTTAGAATCAAGCCCTCCACTAATAACTAGAAGAACATGCGAAAAAATAATTGGTTCTCAAAGATTATATGTTTTTACCAGATTGTGGTAGGAAAAAAAAAAAATCCCTGTGTTGAGCTTGTCAAGTAAAATACAAATACCATGACAGAGCAGTAAAACTTGTCCAAGTAAAATTCAAGTAGTTCCCAATTTCCCATTGACATTAATACTAACAAATAGCAGTAAAACTTGATAATAGTAATTAATCCACCAAAACCTAAATGCTATCGGCCCAAAATTCTACACACCTTCCCACAAGCAAAATGAAAAATTCTAATCGCCTTCCATGAAATGGCTACCACAAACCACTCTTTTCATCATACTTCAAGCCTCACTGCGTAACATATCAGTTACCGGCTGACTCTTACTCTGCAACTTATGCTTTATCTTCCAGCCAAATGAAAAATTACATTTACACCAAAAAGGTAGCTTGTCTCATACAGACATCCACATAAATCTTTATTTACTTATGAAAACTGTAAGAATGCCCTTTAACTAACCACTTTGCACAAAATCACAACACCAAAAAATTCATCTTACGTCTCCACAATTTTTTAATCAATAATCAAAATGCATAAAGTTAGTATGTATTACATACAAGCAGAAGAACCTGAGTTAAAACCACTTTAATCATAGACTTCTTAACATCAATATCACCCCCAGGTGCATCTATTTGGATATTTGTAGATAGATGGTGATAGAGAGAGATGAGTAAGAAAAAAGAAATTAAAAATTCATATAGAAATACCTTCCCAGGGTCTCCATGGAAGGAATTGCACGCTGCTGCAAATCTATAATACATGGCCGTTAAGGTGACAGATGTGGATAAAGATCGAACAATAGACGAGAAGCTCTGGTAAACCAACCTGGACTTGCAAATTACCCTGTTAATGTTGTATGGACGTCCAATAAAACGTGTTTATGTTTACAAGAAAGGATACACTTGTATGGCCAGCTCTCAATGTTTTATAGAGACATTTTTGACTAATGTCTATGATCTGCCATAGAGATTACAATGAGCAACAGAAGCATAATGAAATGAACATTGTGAAAATGTCAAACCTTTCACATCTCCAAATAACTGCAGAACGCATGATAATATATGCATGGGAGAGAGAGTTAATGATCTGGCAAGTATGCCCAATACATATGAAATTAACATCATGCTACGAAGTTAGAGCTATATTGTCTAAATAGCCTGACCAGGTAAAATAAGAAAACTTTTTCAATTAGTAATGTATACCAATCAGAAAAAAAAAAGCCTTTAAAACAGTCACCACTTTAGTGGAAAGAAAAACATCCAACGACTAAATTTTCAGCATATACCTTTACAAGTGGAAAACCAAACATACAAAGTTGTTTCTGCCTATTAGCATGTCTACAGCTCACACTACACTACGGTAAAAAGCTACCGAGAGAGAAACTGAGAACTGTGTTTTTATGTGTGGTACGAACCTTAACATCACCACCATCATCTGCAGCAGCAAGAAAAGAAGACTTGTAGTTCAACGCAATCTTGCATAGACAGGATTAATGTTCTGTTAGGAAAAATTAGCATGGAAAGATCATTCTATAAAAAAATAAAAAAAATAAAAATAAATTCCACCACTAGATGCAACTTTAGTTCAACGTTCAATAAAACTTATTATTTGTTTGTGAGTGTAAATGATTAAAAATTTAACTTACTAGATACATATAGCAGGCTCACTTCAAAATTTTATGAATTTCTTTCTCAGATAATGTGAGGCTTTAAATTGAAATGTGAGATTACTACCCTTAAGCCAAGGAAGAAAAGAAAAAAACCATAAAACACATACACACAAAGGAATAAGAACTTGACATCACATTGAGCACCAACCTCTGAAAATTAAAGGAAATAAATACACGGGATCGAGTTTTCGACATAAACATACTTTAGCCATATAGAATCAAGAGCGTGATATAGCTCAGATGTAACACTTAAATTCAAGAGTGTGATATTTGCTCAGATGCTACATCTGCCCTTAATAAACAAAGTTAAAACTAATGTCTACCTGATTTATCTCCTCCTTATTATATACATAACTCTCCAACGGCTTAAATGCATTGGCCTGCGAAATAGAACGTATACAATAACAACTTATTAGTAAGCAAACAAAAGTGTAAAATCATACAACAAAAATCACATTGTATGTCAAAGAGAGGGAGCAAAATCAAAAGGTACACAGAAATTTTAGCTTCTTTTTCCTAAAGACGGTGAACACAAAAATAAACATAAAACAAACCACAATTAGAACTAGTAACTTCTTCATCAACGCCATGAATGATTACCAGATGGACATCAAAGCTCTTGACTTCCTTTCCAGAGGAAACATAAATGACATTCTCATTTCCTGAATCAAGCAACATGTTTTTACAAACACGATAAAGATCAAACACAAAACACACATAATCAGCCGATAAAGCATTCCAAGAAATGATCATAAACAAGTGAAGGTGAACATGAAACATATAAAAATAAATACTTTTTTGTTCCACTTCCACTAAATCAAACTAAGTCCATATTTACAAGTTAAAACTAATTCTCGATATAATTCCCATAACCAACCTCCCAAGTTTCAAAAATTACTCCTAGTCCGGATTTGTAGTGCAAGACAAAAATAAAAATCCAAAATTTAAAGTCCAAAGCTCAAAATTACCAGACTTGAAGCAAATGGATGATAATGGTTCGTTCCCAACTTCTAGAGTGCGAACGACGTCTTTGCATCGCATGTCAAACCAGCAAACGGAACCATCCTGATTCGTATATGAAGATTATAGATTTATTGATTTTGGTAAAGCTGAAACTGAAAGTGGAGCTAGTCTGAATTAAAAAGAAGAAAACGGAGAATACTGAATACCTCGCCGGTGGTGAGGACGAGGCCAGGCCTGTCACGTGAGGCCACGCAGCACGTGGCGGTGGCGTTGTGGCCCTTCAGTCGCCTTGCCTTTGTCTCTGTCATCTCCGCCGTCGCTCTCTCTCCCTCTCTTTCTCTCTCTCTCCCTCTCTCTCTCGCTCTCTGTCTCTGTTTAACTTTTACAAACGCTGTTTTGGGTCGTCGTTGGCTGTTGGCAATCTACCATTGCTGAGGCTTGTGAGTAGAGGGGAGAGGTTCCCTTGCTGGGCTTGGGCTCTCGCCAAAGGCCGAGACTGCACGCTTTGCTATTAAGCCCAGTCATCGCCGTACTTCTTGGGCTCAGGCCGAAAATAAGAACAGAAATCTATCTCTCTTCCTAAAGGTGAGTGGGCGGGCGGGAGGGCGCATTTCGTTGCCATCATTTTTCTTTTTTAACCTTTTTAGCTTTTTTTTTTTTTGTTTTTTGTTTTCTTTTTTTCTGTGATATTTTTATATTTTTAAATATATCTCGATTAAATATTTTTCTTATGGTTATTTAAATATTATTTTTTTAAATTATCCTGTTAAATTAATTTATTCTCAAATGTGTCTTTACATAAATATATTTTTTATCCGGGATCCTCATAAATTTCAACTTTAATTGCGAAACATTTCGCACAAATTTTGTTCTTATCTTTTACTTCAAATTTTTTCCCACTTTTATCTTTATTTCTTTTATCATTTTTTTTCTTCCTCTTTTTTTCCCTACGATTTATATAAATGTTATTTTAAATAAGTCACACGCGCTATGCGCGCATTTTTGGCTAGTAAAAAAAAGTGAAAATTTTTGAACTTACCCTTAGAGTGCATGAGTTTAGATCTTTACCTTTCCATTTGATTAAGGGTATTAATATAATAAAAAGGATATTAATCAAGAATAATGAGTAAAATCCAGACACATACATTCTAAAAGGTATTTCTTTCATTTTTAAAAATAATAATTTATTTAGGAGTAAATATGCTATTTACTTTAAAATATTTTAGAACATGATATTTATTTCAAATAAGTTTATAAAATTTTATTTGTCTCTTTTTTCTTAATGTGAAAATTACAATACATGATAAATTTATAATAGTATAGTTGAAATATTTCAATTTTTTAAAAATATTTTTAAAATAACAAAATTATACAATAATTATTTTAATGGCGTTCACATTTCTATTATCTATTATATATACTAAATGCCTTAAAGAAGTTTCTCTTTTAAATGGCTTTTTTCGCTGTGTGCGCTCATTAAAATATATATTTTTTAAAATGTGTCTCTATAAAGATATTTGTGTTAATTGTGTATTAACTAACTAACTAATTGACTGACTGACTGACTAACTAACTAACTAACTAACTATAAGCTTTTCAGTTTTACCACTTTTGAGTGACTTTCTCTTCGGTCACTAGGTTTGCATCTTTTTCTCTTCCCCCTTAGGGCTGGGTTCTGACGCTGCCGCTTGGCTAGTCTCTGGACCTTCAGCCCTTGAGAAGCAACCTTGGGATCTATAGTGAGGGCACTGATGATGGAATTGGCCCATGGATGAAGGGGGCGTGATATGGCGAGGTTGAGGGGAGGGTCTTTCGGATCTTTGACCACCGTTTTTAGGTGTTTTGGAGCTCTAGTGGCTCTACAACTCGTGGGTACCCCTTCGCCGAGGCAGTGACTGTGGTGGTGATGCTCGCTGGTATGAAGTGTGAAATGGCTCCGGTTGGTCTGTGCTTTTGGGGTTTTGGCCCCATGGTGTAGCCAAAGCTTAGGTGGAGCGCGTGCTTCGTGTGATGCCTGGTGGCGGCAATGTGCGGTTCTCTCTCGTCGGCGATATGGTGGTGGCCTTTATGCAGTTTTTTTTAGCTCTTTACAATATTGTTCCTCATGGTCCTTTCAATTGCGGTGGTTGGCTCATCGTTGGTGGCCTTTTCCAAGCAACACGAGCTATTTCAATTAGTTGTTTTGTACAATAACGGTGGTGTCGTGTCCGTCACATTGGTATTGCGCTTTGTGTTTTATTTTTAGCTTCCGCTATGTAATAACGGAAGTGGTATCCCCACTTTTTGTTTTTGTTTGTGTGTCTAATCCGTTAGAGGTATTTCTTTTACGGTGTTGTGTGTGACCGTCGTGTTAGAGGCCTCTTAATCTCAATCGATCGGAATTCTCCATTGATTATAGAGGTGTTGTTGAAAGAACTATTTGTTTGCTCGACAGTTACTATGCCTTTTCAGTTTCCCATCATTGGAACTTGGTACATGTTTTACCCCTTGTACGTTACAACAGAAATTACCAGTGGAGCCGATGTTGGAAATTGTGTCCTAAAAGCATGAGATGTAATAAGATATTTATTATTTATTTAATAAAAGAGTTTATTCATTATTTTATGTACAAATTATTGAATATTTTATGAATATCAATGAAAATTTCATGATTATTTATGTGACCTTAAACATTGTATATAAATGTTATATGCGAGAGGATAATGTTTAAGGATAATAATCAAAACGATACTCGTAATGAATTTAATTAAAGTTCAGAATCTTTAATTAAAATATTATTAATTCATGTCATTCCCATTTAGAATGGAACATTGTTATCCGCACTGTTAATATGACGAGATATTAAATGAGTGTATTTCTCATAATGAGATTATGTGGAACATTGACACAAACACAATATGAATTTCTGATAATTTCTGATAAGTATAGAAATTCTAATTGAGCCTATTGATGGTCATATATGAAACGATCTTAATCATGAGTTCTTAGCAGACATTTATTTATGGATTTATATCTTTTAAATTACTTTGTATAGATTCTGAGATCCTGAATCATATTCCTTATATTTTGGAGACATGATGAAGTGAGTACCCGAGAATATTATTATACGAGATAGAATCTATTCCTTCTTGAGAAAGAAGTAAATAAATAATTCTCTTGAGAGTTGATTTGGTACTTGGACCAGTAAGAGCTCCGATTCGTGAATTTATTTTATGAATCATTGTCTATTAGAGAATCAATAGTACTCAAGGATAAAGATGTAATTATAGAGGTTACGAATTTCACCTAACTCTAATTATGAATTATTTATGAAAGATTGATCTATATGCAAAGACTATATCAAATGGACACTTTATAGTTTAGAAGTAATTTATGTCTATAATTACGAGAGTGCAATTCTAAGTTTTAATTAATTTAAAGTTCTAAAACTCTTTAATTAATTAATTAATTCTATTAATTCTAAAAGTTACTCCTCTATAAACTTGGAATTGTATTCTCGTAATTATGGACATAAATTACTTCTAAACTGTGAAGTGTTCATTTGATATAGTCATTGCATATAGATCAATCACCCATATAATTTATAATTAGAGCTAGGTGAAATCTGTTAACCTCTCTAATTATATCTTTATCCTTGAGTACTATTGATTCTCTAATGAACAATGATTCATAAAACAAATTCATGATCGGAGCTCCTACTAGTCAAAGTACCGAATAAACCCTCAAGAGAATTATTATCTACTTCTTTCCCAAGAAAGAATGATTCCATCTTGTATAATAACATTCTCAGCTACTCACTTCATCATGTCTCCAAAATACAAGGAATATGATTCAACATCTCTCGGAATTCTTACCGAATAAATCAAAAGACACAAATTCATAAATAGGAGTTTGTTAATAACTCAGAATTAAGATCGTTTTATATATGACCATCGATAAAGTCAATTAGAATTCCTATACTTAAATGAAAATTATCAGAAATTCATATTGTGTCTGCGTCCTGATTCCACACAATCTTATTATCACTACAAGAAAAAGGGATTTTTACGACGACAAAAAGTCATCACAAAAACCTGAATGTCGTCGTAAATAAGGTTTTTTGCGACGACGTGTCATCGCAAAATTGTCAGCGTAAATAATTCGTCGCAAAAACCTTTTTTGCGACGACATAGTGTCGTCGCAAATGTATTTGCGACGACAGTCTGTATTTGTGACGACAGACGTCGCTAATACGTCATTGTAAAATTCTCGTGATATGATCATTTTTTGTGACGACATTTCAAATTTTCGTCGCCAATAATCTTATTTTTTTTGCGACGACAAGTCTAAAAATGTCGTCGCAAAAAACTGAAATTAATTTTTTTTTATAATTTTTAAAAAATGACAATTAATTAATTTTTAATATTTTTAATTAAACATTATTATGTTACATACTGAATAGAATTTATTAAGATACATTAAAAGAAAAATATAAATTAATATTAAAAACAATAAATCTAAATAAATTTATAAAATATATTATGAATACTACATGAAGTGCATATATAATGTTCAAGAAAATATAAAAGTCTAAATAAAGTGAAAAATAAAAAAGTACATATAACGGAACTAATCTTCTAAGTTTGCAGCATCGCTAGCATCTGAATCATCATCAGGATCGTCATCATCTGAAGGAGGCAGAGGAGCGTCTAGGTCAACTGGTTCTGGACGATCAATCATAGGTAATTGGATGTTGGGCTGCAATTTAGCCATCAACTCTAACACCTTCTAACTAAATTTTGGCAACATAATGGCTTAGTTTTCTTATGATCCAAAAATCTAAACCTGTAGAAAAATAACTTTAAAAGATTTCGGCACACCATAGCTGCAAAATGTACCACCCAGAACAAGAATCACAAACATATACTAAATTTCAACAATATAAGAAAGTCATAGTTCAAATATCAAAATCATAATCCCAAATTCATACAACCAAAAACTACAACAATTTTTAACTAAAAGTACAATAAATATAAAAAACTTACAAAGTTCAAATCCACTAAACGGAGGCTGAAAATAGCGGGATTACGTCGGAGGAACCGGGCAAACAGCGACAAAGGTAAAAAATCAAACGCTTACATCAAATTGAAACATCGAACATAATTTAACGTGACCGAAATTAACCTTTTATTAAATTATGATCAATAACAAAATGTTCACGCTTTTACTATTCGGTAATGTTAAAAAATAGTATAAAATAGTCAAGAAAGCAGAAACCTTTTGGTGTCGTTGAAATTGCGGGGAATCGACAACAAATTCAAAAAGAGTAGTAATTAGAAACAAACTCTACCGAAAAAAGCCTATTAATTAAGCTCAGAAAATCAAAAATTGACATGAG